TCACCGGCCAGCGGCACCAGCTGGCAGCCGGCACTGACAGCAGACAGCTGCTAGCAGCAGCAGCCAACAGTAGGCACCAGCTAGCACCAGCACCATCACAGCTTGGCCCAGACCCTGCGCCTTCTCCCGTCAGCCGGTGACATCTGGACCCGATAAAATTTCAATTCCGCCTTCGCAACACCACACCTCATCACCAACCCAAACCTCACGCGACCACGAACACGACATTGTCATCCCTAACTTCCTCCCCCTAATATCACCATCCCCTTCCACATTCACCATGCTCCGCAAGGTCATCACCTCTGGCGCCCGCGCCACCCGCTCGGCCGCTCGTGCCCCCGCCGCGTCCCAGGCGCTCCTCCGCCCCCAATTCCAGCAGACCCAGACCTTCGCCCCGGCCTTCAGGTTACGCGCCGCCCAGCCCGCCGTGTCGCGATGGTACAGCTCCGAGCCCGACTCCAAGGCTGATGCCAAGGCCAAGGAGGGTGATGCCGCTGCCCCCGAGAGCGCCAACCCCGAGCTCGACGCCCTGAAGAAGCAGCTCGAGGCCAAGGAGAAGGAGGCCCTCGACTGGAAGGTGAGCATCCAATCCCAAAGCATACCCGGCCTCCCATGACAGCATGACGTCTCTAACAGATATCCTCCCTTCTTCCAGGACAAGTGCCTCCGCTCGGTCGCCGACTTCCGCAACCTCCAGGACCGCACGACCCGCGAGATGAAGTCGGCCCGCGACTTTGCCATCCAAAAGTTCGCCAAGGACCTCGTCGACTCGATCGACAACCTCGACCGCGCCCTCGGCATGGTGCCCGAGTCCAAGCTGTCGCCCGCCGCCGACGCCTCCGAGGCTGCCAAGGACCTCGCCAACCTGCACGAGGGTCTGCGCATGACCGAGACGGTCCTCATGAACACGCTCGAGAAGCACGGCCTCGAGCGCTTCAGCCCCGAGGCCGACAAGTTCAACCCCAACGAGCACGAGGCCACCTTCATGACGCCCCAGCCCGGCAAGGAGGACAACACCGTCTTCCACGTCCAGTCCAAGGGGTTCAAGCTCAACGGCCGCGTGCTGCGCGCTGCCAAGGTCGGCGTTGTCAAGAACCAATAAATGCCCAACCCTTTTGCCTCTTTGGAGATGCTTGATGCGCCTCCGCTGGCCGCGCAAGAGAGAGAGAGAGAGAGAGAGAGGGAGAGAGAGGAACGAATAAGAGAGATGAGGGGCGACGCTGCTTGAGGCGGGTCGCCCGTGTATTACTACTGAAACCAACAACAACTGCAACACAACCGACTTTGACACGGAATGCGCCATCAGGCTTTTCGTGTCAATGTGTACAATGCTCCCCTCATGACGGAAGAAGAAAGATCAGTGGAAGACGAAGACGGACGGAAGACGCCGTGTTCAATGTCTAGTCAACTGGACAGGCCGGGAAAAATGTATCTACATAAACTGCATGTGTGACATCGCAAATAGGCGTGGTCGGCGATGTATCAAGTATAGGACGGCGGAGAGTCGTCACGGCACGTCACTGGCGCGCAGCAAGCCCACGGGCAGTCAAGCGTTATACAAAATAATACTACATACTTGGACAGTCGCATCTGTTTCCCTGCTCGAAGAGTCGTGCTGTCCGCCATTTCGAAGTCCGCAAGAGGGTATCATCAGATGAATAGTGAAAAGGAGACCAACCAGGTCAAAAGACAAGCAGCCAGAAGACAAGCAAATAAGGAAAAGTCCAAACGCCTCATGTTGCCCAATTTTCCATCCCCTGTATTCGTCATCGCGCGCAAGGTCAGCAAAACAACAAAAGAAAAAAAAAAGATGTATCACTCCTCTGCCTCAGCATCACGCACCAACCGCTCCCAAACCTCCTCTCCAACCTCGGCCCTGACAGCCTCAATATCCTTCAGACCGGCCCTCTGGAGCTCCTTGTCGATGCCCTGCTGCACATCCAGGATATCCCGCTCAAGCCGGTCATGAACGGCCCGCGTCTCCCCGAGCGTCTGGCTCCTCAGCTTGAGCTGATACTTGACATCCTTCAAATGGCCGCTCACCTGCCGCAGGATGCGCCTGTTCTGCCTCGCAAGCTTCGAGCTGGCCGCGGCCTCCCGCGCGGCGAGAATGACGTCGACGCCAGCTCGCACGCTGCGCAGCTGTGCGCGCGTGGCCGCGAGCTGCGGCGTGAGCTCGGCGTCGCACCGCCGCGCGAGCGTCTCCTCCTGCGCGCGCCAGAGGCCTACCGTCTGCCAGCGCTGGGCCACGACGCCCTCGGCCGCTGAGGCGGGGATGCCGGCAAGCGTCCGTGACTGCGGCGACGTCAGGGCTGCGGCGACCTCGGTTTGCGTGTAGGGTCTGTTTTCCGATGAAGCCGTGGGCGGTGTGCTCGCGGGAGGGGCCGCCGCTTCGACGGCGTCCTGGGCGTCAGCGTCGCTCTTGTCGGCATCCTGGGCGTCGCGGAGGCGTTTGGCCATGAGCGGATCCATGCGGTCGTACATGTTGGTTGACCAGTTGCGGATCTGTGCCTTTGGGTGGAGGCCCGGGGGCGTGTAGACGATGGACGGCTCCGAGGGTAGGCTGTACATCGGAGACAGTGCGTCGCCGTCCTCGATGTCCTTCTGCCAGGTGAATTTATGTGCCATGCGGTCGGGAGGCATCT